ATATATATATATATATATATATATATATATAAAATAAATCGTGCACCACCTAATTACGAATGCCTATTTAGAGAGCTAAAATAAAAGACAACCTAGCGTAATGTTAAGCAGCATGCGTTAAATTTTAATATTCTTGCTTGTCTTTCAGATGTGGCAAAACCATTAGCATTTTCATCTGTTTTTTGAAATTGAGTGTGTGTAGAAATGTTTTGGAAAATAAATATACTGATTCTTTTTTTCACTGGTTAAATTTGTTTTCCTTTTTATTATAATATATATATATATATATATATATATATATATATATATATATATATATAGGGTAAAAAAGAGATAGACAGATTAATGTCCAGGAGTACGTGCAGGCACCTGCCAAAGAACATGGGAATGAAATGTTCTGTTCATGTAAATATATATGATCAATACTAGGTTTCCATTTTTTCTGTCATCAGGAAAATATTTTGTGTGTGTGTGTGTGTGCGTTTGTGCATGTGTGTGTGTGTGTGTGTAATGGTTCAGTCATACAAGTAGCGGTTTGTCGCGTCGTACAAACTCTTGGTATTTGTGCTTAACAAATATTAGATACTTACTTATAAGTAAACAGATATAATCTTCCTATTAATCATAAGCACTGAAAACAATGTTTATATGTGCATATGTATGCATTACACGCGCAGAGACGTACACAGAAAAGATTCTAGCACACAGATACACACACACACACATATATATATATATGTGTGTGTGTGTGTCTAAGATGCTAGAAATGGACAAAGTTAGTAGTATATACACATGTGCCTACATACCTATAAGTAAATATTAATACATATTTTGCCATAAATACTGGATTCATGATTAAGTTTTCTCTGATTGCTATGCATATATACATGAATTCTTGCCTAGCTGAAATTAATTACACACACACACACACACATATATATATATATATATATATATATATATATATATATATATATACCGTATATACTCGCGTATCATGCGTCTTTTGAAGACCTAATTTTGAAGCTATTTTTAAGGAGTTCGCATCATAGACGAGATATAATATTAGCGTATGTACAGCTGGCCCTGTTTACGTCGTTGACCAAACTATATATCCTTTTTACTCTAGTCAAATTAGCTTCAAAATTAGGTCTTCAAAGGTCGCATGATAGGCGAGTATATACGGTATATAGAAAAAATCAAAAATGTTGATGTGGCCAACAGACTACCTGTTAAAAGACTTGTGGGAAGGAAGATTAATTACAAAAGCAACAATCAAGAAAAACCTTACACAAGAAAAAAGAACAAACTAAGGAAGAAAAGAACAAAAGACAAAAACCTACCAAAACAGCAAATAACATTGCTAAATGCCTCGGCTATCCAGACAACAAAAAACGCTTTACAGCGTGACCCCTCAATGGAACAGCTCGAGTCGCTACTTAAGTTTCACGTTTTCGCGATCTTCAATCGACCTGAAATTCTGGTTGCCGGTAGATTGGGAGAGCATTAAACTTAAGTAGCGACTCGATTTGTGCCTATACACACACACTGACATATATATATATATATATATATATATATATATAACTTTCCGGATATATAGAATTCAACAAAGTTATATCTATGTAATCTCCTACTTACCCACCTGCCTATCAACTCATCGGTGCGTTAATCTATATCTGTTTCTGTCTATGTCTTTATATCTACAACCAATGACGAGCATATCCGTTATAGAATGTTTGCATGTAAAAAAGGGTATTGTGTTTGTATAATACAGTCCCATTTTACAAAGAAAAGCAGAGACTCTTTCTCTCTTTTCACTCTCTCTGTCTCTTTCTTTCTCTCTCTCTCTCTCTCTCTCTCTCTCTCTCACACACACACACACACATACATACACGTATTCACTCATCAATTTAGGACGCCAACCCCTATGATTTTCTACATATTCTTTTAATATCCATGAATTATTGGGAAATATATACCTGACGACATTTAAATCAAAATTGTCCTCCTAATAGACTGGCCATTAGACCCCTGCGCATCTTCATCAAATACTTTATTTACATAGTATGCCTCTCTCTCTCTCTCTCTCTCTCTCTCTCTCTCTCTGTGTGTGTGTGTGTGTGTGTGTGTGTGTGTGTGTGTGTGTGTATAATTAGAGCTTGAGAATAATGGAATAATATCTTACTGCTGTTAGTATTTCAGGAAATAAGTGATTTGGTGATATTTTACGATAAGAGAGAACACCGCTGATGTAAATACCTGATTCTCCGTAGGACAGTAATTTGTGGTCATTATAAACAGAAACAGACAAAATGTGAACTTTATTCACAAATAGTTCTTGTTTTACTTTGAAATATATTTTAATTAAAATGCTCAAATGGGAATGGAGTTCATAGCTGTACGATCATGTCTAGTCATCAGATCGACCGTGGTCGGGATTATAAAGTCAGTGTGAACTCCACAATCATTTCCTTAGCTGCATAGTATGTGCTCCGCTATGGCTCTATACAGGGTTTGTTCATCAAGATTTGTTGTCAAACAAGGCTGAAGAACACAGTCTGCTGTATTATTTAATACATAGCTTGTATTACGAAACTCAACAGGAATGCGAATTTGGCTTAACAATTTCTCGTTCCATTGCACCACCCGCACAATCATATCGTGTAAGTGTATTACAATTATCAATGTAGTGTCTTAGGTTCTTCCCTTGTCGGCGTGAAAAGAAGGATTAACTTACTATGTTCAAATTCCAGTCGAGACCAATGTTTTCACACAAATACCCTTGGGAAAGGCATGAATCCATCTCGTTTCCTCCATCCCGCAATCTAGGGATTAATGCCTGACTTAAATCTGGGAATTCAAGAAACACATACAGTATGCCGTTGATTTCGAAATGAAAAAATAAGTTTCAAAAGTTGCAATATTCTCCAGATCTAGCACCAACTAATTAACCTTTTTTTCAAAGATTTTAACATCTTTTTAAAAATCAAAACGAACTGATGCGAATCTGAATCCAAAGCACTCAATCCTAATGACATAAATAATTTCGTTGCCAAAGTTTTTTTGTTTTTTTTTCATTTTCCTTTTAACGCCATACGGTCTCAGAATGTAGGCGATCATTAGATTCAAGTTACCTTTTTTTTTTTAATTTTCGTTAAATTGCCATGAGTTCATAGGGAAGAGAGTGATGTAGTTTTCTGTTGCTTTCTCTACGGTTTAGAACTGAAAATATTCCGTCTAAACTTATTGCCACTCAAGTCTAGAGATGACAGTTTACCCGGCTATTTTATCTGTAAATTGGTGATGCGGGGTAAGGAGATGAATTCATGCCATTTCCAGTGAAATTAATGCAAAAATTAACGTCCGAGACAAGGCCGATAACCGCGGCATAATTTTTAGGTTTAAAGTCTTCAATGATTCCCGTCTTAATTGGTGTTACTTGTAAATAAATTTGTGGACAGACTCAGTGTTTTAATTCAGCTATTATTTTCCGAACATTTTTGGCCATTATCGATGTCGTTTTCGTCTTTATTACCAAAATTGCTCCACATGTTGTAATGGCTAAACAGCTTCTTTTAATTCACTGCATACTGTGAAATTTAAAGGGACAAGTAGCGAATACGAGTAAAATAGAAGCAAACAAATATTTTCCCTAAGGTTGTTATCACATTTTCTATTTTGCTGATTCATGTTCGTATCCTGCTAGAAGGTAAATTCTCTTCATTAAGTTTTCTCGAGTACACAGACCGGCAGACGAAATAAACACTGTTAAAGAAATACGGGCAGTCAATAAAAATAACGTTTGAAACAATAAAAATATGTCGAATTAAAAAATAAAATCAATTAATTCTTTAGAAATATGTGAGTGCGCGTTAAATATGTAATACAAATTGTAATACTTATATTTTGATATGTTTCACGGACAAATCGGCATCATCAGAAAATTGGGTTTTATTTCAATCAAATCAACATTAGCGATGCAAAATGTACTTTATTTTAAGCATAAAAACGGTTAATTTAGCATCTCTTGGAATTCACGTAAGCGTAAATTTCATCTGTGTGTCCACACCTAATAACATAGAACAAAACGGCACGTCCATATGGCAAATATATAAAGGGTTGACTGTCATTAATTTATATATATATATATTGCTATCAAATGGCTTTTACGGCATAAATAATATTTAATTTATATAACATTTTAAAAGCATATATTAATAAATATTTGCTATTTATCTTTAATTCAAATTTTAAAATGTCCCATATATAAGATTTGTTTAGTTGCTAAGGTGTTTTGTTTTTTTTAATTCATCATGTTTGCATAAAACGAATTTAGATTTGCCTTATCAAAATTTAGTTTTGCCTTATCAAAATTTATATTAGCCTTATCTAAATCAAGTCGTAATTTCGCAGAAAAATATAAATAAAATAAAATATATAGAATATCAAAAGTATTTCAATAAATAAATGTAATTTTGCCTTTTAAAAATATTTTTTAAGAAGCGGATACACTGTAAACAATTTTGAAAGCTTTTAAAGAATTCTGCAATTTTAGTATTCTTAATAACCATTGTTGTTATCTGACATTTCGCTTTACGACAAATTAGTCGAGCGGAACCGGAAATGCACAATCAAATTGGAAAGCAATCTCCAGATGCACAAACACACACACACACAGAGACACACACAAACAAAACAACAAAAACACGCATATACAAACTCGCACACAATACGGATGAAAGCAAAAACATGAGCCGCATCGAATAAAGAAAAATAATGACGTATAAAATTTCGAATAATCGGAAGCGTTCATTTTACGCATGGCCCAAGCGTTCATTTTAAAAAAAAAATGTCCGTCTAGCGCTTTGTCCTAAACCTATGAACTAAAATGTCGGAGTGATGATAACAGTTCAAACAAGTGGTAACCAGGATGCTTGCTGTTTTGCATTATGTTTTATGTTCTGCTGTAACAACGAGAATTAGAAATGTCCTCCAAGGGAAGGGGCAGCGAGCAGCCGATTATTTTCTGGGCAACATCTATAGGCCTTTTGGGGGTAATTCATTTGGCCGCTGTCGAGCAGCTGAAGTAGTGATGTAGTCTCGCAGCACACTATCAACAGTTCAGCAGTAGAAGGTCATCAGCATCTCCCTTTGTAAATTATTTTTCTGGAAATTCTTAGTAAATAGAGTCATTGCTGCACCTTCTTAACTATCACAATGGAATTGCTAGTCCAGGAGAGAGATCCTCTTGACCAGAAACTGACACACAATCTGTCGATAGCCAAGTGGATAGATGCTAGTGCATTTCTGCAAAAGACCACCGCCAGCTCTTTTCGTTTTAATATTCTTTATGCAAAAATTGTATAGCGGTACGCGAACATCTATTACAATTCACTTATCTTTATAAATATATATATATATACAAGGTGTCCCAACTCTTTAAATATTAATAGTTAATAATACATTAACGTGATGTGAGAACTTATATGGATGAAAATATGCAAAACAGATGGATTCGAAGAAGAGGGACTGCTGAATACCCACCTAGATCACCAGATTTGACACCCTTGGATTTTTTTTTTTTGTGGGGGGTTTCTAAAAGACAATGTTTACAGCAGGAAACCTGAAACAATTGCTGAAATGAGAGTAGCAATTGAAGAAGAATTTGCTCAAATACCAGAGGAAATGATACTGGACGTTTGTAGGTCGATTTCTTCAAGATATGAAAAGTGTATTGAACAGAACGGCAACCAGTTTGAGCACTTGATGTCAACTCATCAATTATATGAACATCCGAGACAAGGCCCATCTTTTTCCTGTTGATAAACCGGGCATAATTTTTAGGTTTAAAATCTTCAATGATTCCCGTCTCAATTGGTGTTACTTGTAAATAAATTAATGGACATATTTCCCCAAGTACCTTTTATGTTATTAAAGTTAATTTTCTATGTTTTTTGTATATTTTACTCTCAAATTCTTTAAATGTGTATTAATCTTATTTACAAGTCAAAATACATAAATTGAATAAGTTATAACGATTCAAAGAGTGTATACATTATTTTGGCACCATATATATATATATATATATATATATATATATATATATATATATATATATATATATATATATATATATATATATAACTCAATGTAGTTTATCCATTTTGTAACCCCATACAAGACTGTGACTCTTGTAATAAGCACCAAATCAACATCGGTCAGACGTCGGCGTCATGGTGATGTAGACTGACAAACCACTTAAGCGATCTCAGTCCCGTAAGGAAGCATTCAAAAACTAACTACCTGTTCTCATAAGAAAAATCCTGTCATTCTCATATCTAATCTTAAAAGATGTCTGAAAATAAATGAAGCACGTTATCTAAGAAATCTCAACCCTAACCTATTTAGCATAAAATTGTTATGACTTCCATCCAGCATTGCTCAGAATTACTCTTACTTGTACACAACTTGGAACACAACTTTAAATACAAACACAGGAAAAGGAAAATGGCTAATGAATTTGCCGAAAGAGGTTGGTTTAATAATCACGACTGTTATAACACTCTCTTATTTCTCGTAAAGGAAAAACTGTAAAAATATTAGAAAAACTGAATAAAAATATTATAAAGTTCTCCTTGTCCGTCACATTTAATGAAAAAGGTATAAAACAAAAATTGCTGCTCAAATAGACTATATATATATATATATATATATATATATATATATATAAAATGGTTGTGAAATATTCTATCTCTTCTATTTCCGATAGTCTGATTTGATTAATCATAAATTTTAGGTTGAGCCAAAGCTTCTATGATGTGCTAGAGTTGGCTCCAAATTTAAACTTTTTGCTCTAAATTTTTCTTCATACATGTTGTAAATTTGTATGCGTGTGTGAATAGATGCGTGTGACCATTAATGTCTTGAATCTTGTAACTGGCTCAGTGAATAAGAGAATATATTCAATCAAGACCTATTGGACAGTTATTGCATCCCCTACTCACTTGTAAGGAAATAACTATTTTTAAAAATTCCTTGCCTGTGACCTTCAATAAAACATATATATATTTGTGTGTGTGTTTATGGTTGTGTTTGTATGTGTGTTTGTGCTTGTGTGTGCGCATGTGTACGTGACTAAATCAATAAAGGATCCATATCCGTGTATACTTATTAATGACAAAATTTCAAGACAAAAATGCAAGAGATGCAGACATTTTTCTCGCCTTTCCATCTATATACGTCAGCTGTGCTTTCTTCTGCCATTATTTCTGTTTTCTCTTTGTCATAGCAATGGCAGCTAAAGCCCGCCTTGCTGCTTCTTCTCTCACCCACGCTCGCGTCATCTCACCAAAAGATGGAACGACTCGTGGCATGACGTTGAACGTGTCCGGTTCAGGCATGAGAACCCGCACCCATCCACGGCCGCCCGACAAAGCAAAGTCCGGTCTGGTCCACTCTTGCTTCGGAGACTCTAGGTCCCAGTGCCTGGGAGTTTGACCCCAGTAACAGCAGTGATGAATGTCTCCTCATATTTGTTCGCTCGAATGTTGACCATGTTGTGGCATCGCGTTCACTATATCGTCTCATTTCGTTTGCGCGCGAAAATGATTGCAAGCTTACAGATGGCAGACACATGGTCTTACATAATTGTAAATATATACGTGTATATAGATAATACATATAAATATATACATGTGTATGACATATGCTTTATATGTTTGTGTCTGTGTTCGTGGCATACTCACTTGTCTAAAAGAAGACATGATAAATGAAATAATCATTATATATATATATATATATATATATATATATATATATATATATATATATTCTAATTTTATAGATATATATTTTATCTATAAGTGTATAAGAAATCATAAGTGTCAACGAGTCGCCATATATTAAGTGCTCTTCTCCTATGTTATATTTCGTAAACAGATGAAAGATGAATTTTTCTATTCTTTCGCTCCGCGATCACATTCTAACTCTTCGTCTGAAACGCCATCTTTGTTTCATTACACTTCTGCATTATCTTGTATGCACTCACGTAGCCTTACTTTGCCATGCATATATATTCTGTGTGTGTGTGTGTGTGTGTGTGTGTGTGTGTGTGTGTTGGATGGGGGGGGGGTGTTGGATGTGGAGGTGTGAGTGTGTGTCTTTCTCTCTCTTATCGTCAATACATCCATCTTGGGTTTCTTAAATATCTGATAAGTTTGATGCAAATGTAAGAAAATAATGCTCTATTCATCTCTTTTTCTCATTGATTAATGACCCACCAATCACCGTTCTGTTCCTTTTTTTGTGTATTTCCTTTGAGGTTTTCAATATCAGAATAGTTAGAAGAATGATTACTCTAATTTCTAATTTGAAGAATCTTGTCTAATATAGCAAGAGAAATAAAACCTATCTCAGATGTATTGCTAAAATTAAAAACTAACTTATTTTTTATTACAACATCTACAGATATGCGTTCACATGCGCGTCTATTCGAAATCCTGATAATCTTTTATAAATTCGTGTAAGGCTATAATTTTTAATAATATTATTAACAAATGGCGTTTACAACATAAGCGACACAAATTGAATTTGGATAACAGTTTTTGAAAGTATACTTCAATAAATATTTTTTCGGTGTTTTTTTTTATTTTTAATTCAAATTATTTAAATTACCACGTTTTAAAAGCAACATTTCTGTCAATATTTTTTTTCAAATTTATCATATGTTATAGTCTAAAATGATGATGATATTTCATCATTCTAAATATAACATTGCTGTCAGTGATGATAAAAAAATAAGGATATTTCATGATTCTAAAAATAACCTTGTCATCAGTGATGATAGAAAAGAAGGATATTTTATCATCTTACCTCCATCATTATAAAAATGACTCTTCCACAACAAGAGAATAGAGCAGTGTAGACTAGGGTACCCATAGTAGACCAGTAGACTAGTAGTTAGTAGAGACACACGTCTACCACCGCTCCGTGAAAATCGAAAAGAGACGATGTCAAACCCCTTCCTCAGAAACGGAATTCTGGGAACCAAACCATGTCAAACGTCATCCTCACAAACGAAATATTCGGAACTAAACCAAGTAAGCACTGACTTTTACACAAAAGATACACTGAGAACATTTTTGCAAACACCCTACCAATATTCTGTAATTCACATCACAAAAAAAAAATAGAAATTCTTGCTATTTATGTCAACAGGTGTCTCAAGTTTTTATCGTTTATGTTGTCGTTGTAAGTTTTAATTCATTTCGTTTTCAATATAAAAGAGAGAAAAGGATTCCGCCTACACTGCAAATACAAATAGCAATGGGGTAATTACTTTAACCATACTCAAATAATTTCAAGTCAGGATTACTACTACATCAATCCTAACTTACCCACCCTGTAACATGTGTTTGTGTAGAAAATATATATAACATTTCAGTCGTAAGTTATGAAAACCTACAGCGTTTCTAATAATAAACCTTGTTGTCATCCGCTATTTCAGATTACCACAAATTAGTCGAACGAAACCGAGTCAGGAAAATCAGTTGGTCTTAGCGTGATGACAAAAACCAATGTATAAAACAAAGAACTTGCTGAAAATTATGTTCATACAAAAATTTTACAACGGTAAGAGAATTTCTATGACAACGTTTCTCTATTTCCATTGGCTAGTTAATAAACTCTTTAAAGTTGATGGCGTTCAAATATTACGTAATGCTGTGATATCTAATAAGTAACGTTTTATAAGTAGCGGGTAATAGCATGTGTCATATATATTGCCCAACTTGCCTGTTCTTAGCGGATATAACTAATTTGCATATTCAACTTTTAAAATCAAATTAAAAAAAAGAAAAAAAACTGGAGACGATGTCTCACCAATTTACAGTTGAGCTGACTAGATGCAACCATAAATTCTATGTTAACAGTCTCTTTTCTTGCAATTCTCGCTTGTGGAACTCCCTTCCGGTTCCATGTTTTCCAGTCAATTTTATTCTGCAAAAATTTAAATGCAATATCAATCGCTATCTACTGTCCTCCTGATTACTGTTACTTTGTTCCTGACCCCGAGTAATTTTCCCTGTTGTTGACTCTTCTACATCCAATAACCTATTGTGTCTCAGTGGCTTTACTGCCTTGCTCGGAGTGTGAACTCTTTTAAAAAAATAACTATTTTGTTATTAATTTTCAGTCTGGTCTCTTGTGATTTTCACAGATAAGCGATTGTTTTTATTCTTTAATTGATTAGTATTTGAAATAAAATATATACTAACTTCACATTTAGAACACAGATGCAATTAAAGGGAGGTAATCAGTGCATGAAGGGGAAAATGTTGATATTTAATCGTATGTATATAAGATCTAAAAGATATTATAAATCATAATATTATAATCTACTGTGTATGAAATAAACCTGTATGAAAATGTTAAAGAATATCAAACTGCTTTTCTTTCGACAATTTCACTGATAGCAATTTAAGGTAGACGCGAATTTCTCAAAGAAATGACTGCAACGGACAGCGAAACAAAGGAAATATCGTTGGGTTATCATTGCAAGTATATTATCGAGTAAAAAATAAATAAAAAATTATATTATTTTTAAATGTGTGTGTGTGTGTGTGTGAAAATTAAAATGACATTATTCCCTTTAAGCTCCGATTACTTCCCTTTACATCTAGCTGTGATCAAAATGCAACGGTAGTTAACATGTGTTCGTGGATGAGCACTCGTGTCCGTTTGAAATCCTGAAAAGTAATAAAATATATAAAGTCTAAGTGTGTGTGCATGCGTGCGCGTGCATGCGTGTATGTGGGTGCAGATAGTGCATAAAATAAAATTCAAAAGAGAAAAATTAGCAAGAAATGGAATGGCTAAAGTTTTTTTCTTATTTATTTATTTTTTTAGCGAAGGGAAAAAAACAAGGTAAGTCAGATTTTTTTTATTTGATTTTTTATAAACCAATAATTAATAGCATTTTTTCATAAAACTATAATTAGTACTGGCTTTTTATTTTATATATGAAATACCAGATTAAATATATGCGAGAGTATGTCAAAAATTATCCTCACTTTGCCATTCTGCTCATACGTGCTTATTGTTGGTACTATTGATTGTGGTCACGTGATCGAAATATGAGTTTGATTGCGGTGGTTTTCTTACTGCTGTTACAGTGTGAACATGACCGCACCGTTAGCAGTGTGCACCAAGGAGGAACAAAGGGTAATGTTCAGATTCTGCAGAAAACATTCTAGCACATCAATAATAACTCGCCGGTTCGCCATTAGCATCTCTCGATCCTGCTGAATCTTCTTGTCCGTGGTGGAGGCTGACGAGCATTCTGCTCCTCCTTCGTGCGTCACTTATCCATCCACATATACACACGAAGTAGTGCACTGTCGTCGTATTGTGTTAAAAGCCTCCGATAAATTTTAGCCCCTGACATACCTTCAGAAATCGGATCGCTACTAGAAATCAAAGAGAGGTAAAGCGAGAGGGGGGGGGAGAGGGAGAGATGTGAAGAGACATCTCCTGTACAGTAGCACTATTTTAATAACGTCATTGGATAGTGAATATTCCATATATTGAATTCAGTTCTCAATATATACGCCATGAAGTGTGGTCTTGTGTCAAACATAGGTTCATGGGTCTATTTTATGAAATTACGCAAAAATATGACAGCAACTCCGGAAAACATAGATGCCAAATCAATATTTGATTATCCAACAAAATTTCATTATACGCTGATTTATTCGAAATGAGGTCCTCATTTTATTTGGTTTAGTCACAACTTATCATCAAGACATTTAACTTTTCAATGTTTTGAAAAAGGAAGCTCGGTTGGCTGAGCATTCATCTATCTATCTATCTGAGACTACTCATCTCTCTCACTCACTCACTCTATCTCAGTCTGTTGATATATATATCTACTCGTCTACCTATGTATATGTCTACTCATATCTATCTACACTTATATACATCTATATATCTCAATCTGTTCATATCTATCTGTCAATTCATATCTGAGTTTACTCATATCTATATGTGTCTACTCATATCTATCTCCTCTCTCTCTCTCTCTCTCTCTCTCTCTATATATATATATATATATATATATATATATATATATATATATATATATTAAGAAATGGACAAAAAGGTCCGACAATTTATTTAATAAAGACATTTTTTTATGTTTAACGTTGTTATTTATAGATACAAGTATTTAAGCAAATGCTCTGTTTATGATAAACAGTATTAAATAACATTTACCGGCCTGAATGTCGAGAAATTTTCATAGAAAATATTCGTTCTTTCCCTGCATCCTATACGGAACCGTCATTTACGCTGACGTGCCTTACCTCATGGAAGATTGAAGTTTATAAGCAGTAAATTCGACCTTGTCTACCGAAAGGTTCTTTGTGGCCCAGGTATAGGATGCAGGTTCGAATCCTGTCAAAGAACGAATATTTTCTATGAAAATTTCTCGACATTCAGGC